ATAAATCGTACAATTTTTTCAAATGTATCCAAAAATAAAAATTTATAGACATGCCAAGCCTTGTGGTGCCAATGCTCAGCTGGGTCCACAACTGCTTTGATGCGCACTTGAGACGAGGGTTCCATATTATGTCAACTTCTTTGTTTTTTTTATAAACCATCTTGAGAAATACCTAAAAGTTCGATAGGTACAAGCACTACTGAACTCAAAGCGCCTAACACGCCAAATTAAAGCGTCTAGCACACTAAGCAAGCCTAATCCAACTCATTGCTTCTTTTATATTATCTTGAAATATTTCTCGAATCAAAGATGCTTAAGAAATAATAGAAATATTGGAGTATATGATGAGGCTGAAGAAGTTTCTAACCTCATATATTATTATTTATATTTTGATATGACACATTTTATCGGAGAGAAAAGTCGGAAAAATGAAGCTATACCAATTAATATTTGTAGATGAAAAAGTATGCATAAATCTTGGACTTTTACACTAAAAAATAACTTCAACTATTTCAAGGAATCATAGTAAGTTACGGGCTGCATCAAATGATTCAAATCTATTGATGACACGAAGCAGAAAAAAAAAATGACGATATCCCAAATTGTACACCAATTGTTACTTCCTTAGTTATGCATATTTTTGTACTGAGTAATGATATTTAGTTTCGTTAGTGTTAATTACCAGTTTAGATAGCGTTTTAGTGTCATTAATTGATAGATTATTTTAAAAGTAGATGCATGAGTTCCCCTAACTGATAATTCTATTACTTTTTGTCATAGCAATTAGCATACGAAGATCTACAATATAATAATTATATTGATATCCCTTCAATACAAGTAGCTCTCAACCTGCATCCCTCTCTTAAAATAACTAAGTATTTTCGTGTCAACTTGAGAAATGAAGCAACTAAGAGCTTAAATTTGATTAACAAGACAACAAAATTCATGTCAAAGAAGAAATTCAATAATTCCCTAACCACAATTGTCAAGTATTTTGATGCCAATAAATTTGGGGCGATGATGAATTTGTCGGATCGGATGAATTCATATGTTTCATTTGGAACCCATTGTTGAGACTATTTTAAATAGGGAAAATTACATAAAGTCAGGGGTTTAGTTTGACATTTTTAAAAATCAGGTTTGAAGTTTATTTTTGCAAAATTCAGGTACTATATTGAAACCTTATTTTATCCATCCCGTCACCACCCTAATTTCTCATTCCCGTCTCCTCACCTTCTCCGCCTCTCCCTCCCTCTCCACCCAGGGGACAACCAACTGTTGGCGTTCTCCCTCCCGTCTGCACCCAGCGACGCTACTGTGATAGGAGCGTCGCGCGTGACTGTTGGCGTCGTTGTGTCGGTGAGAACATCACCTCCATCGCAGATCATGGGGCGCTGCAGATCGGGGTTCTTCCTCCATTTTTTCTCCGATAAGTGCTACACTGCCCCCAAATTAGCTCCAGATTGTACGTGGCGTGGGGGAGATATATTAGGGTGCGGCCTGAATTTGACCCAAATTGTGGCTGCACCGAAGAGCCTGTGCGACAGCTTTGGTTTTCACCATTTTGATGCTTCAATCATGCTCCAATTGTTCAATTCAGCCAACAAGAATTCAATTAGCAATGGTAAGGCTATGGGTAAGCAACCAATTGCATCAATTAACACCTCAACTTCTAGAATTGAATTTGCCCATCTTCCTCCTCAAGATGCATATGTTCCTATTGAAATTGATAATTCTGTTGGTTTTTTTCTTCGAAGCACGGGTGGTGGTTATTGGCAATGGTGATTTGGGTGGGGTTGGTGAGGTTGTATGGTGATGGTGGTGTGGTGGATCTAGGTAGGACGGCGGTTGTATTTACTTGATGTGGTGTGTGGTGGGCTGACAATGGTAGTGACGGATTTCCAAATTAGTTGACCAAAGAATTAATTGTCACCTAGAAAAAATTTTTATGCGTGAATATTAAAAAAATCTGTGACCTGCAAAAAAACTGTGACCAAAAATTAATTTTTAACTAATTAATATTTATTAATTAATAAATACCTGATTTTTGCAAATTTAAAACTTAACATCTGATTTTTGCAATTGTCAAAGTTAACACCTGATTTGTGATATCTTCCCTTTTAAATAGTCGACCCAAACTACACAACTGGTAATCCATGAAATGAAGCTGGACCGAAAGTTACATTTAGGGTCCAACCCATACACTCGACCTAAAGTTTATTACATATATATATATGCGTGTTACTTGCTCTATTCATACATAACACACAGTTGTATCGAGTTAATTGTTTGAATGGACACTGAACTCTGAGAATGGTCACGTTTTACTCACCGAACTTCAAATTGCACCACATTACTCATTGAACTTTAATCCGTTTCACCCATTACACACCGGGCAACTTCCATTTCTAACTCATGCCCACGTGGATGATGGAATGTACACTTGGCTGTTAAATCTCTCCAAAATAAAAATCAAATGCCAGCTCATTTAAAGTGTAACTCCCAAACACGCCTCAGCTAAACCAGAATTAAATCGTGCACTTTGAATTAAATCCCAAAAATTGAAGACTTTGTTTGCTTGTACATAATTTGGTGTACATCAAGGTATCCACTCTCTCACATGAGGGTGGGGCCTATTTGAATAAAAAATATTTTCTCCAAGTGGGTCCCACCCCCATGTAAGGGGATGGATACCTTTATGTACACCAAATTATGTACAAATAGCAGGCTCAAAATTGAAAGTCCAGATCCTATCTAAAACCAAACCCCCAAATTGATTTTGCCCCCACAATCAAAGCTTGATTGTTGAAGCATTTCTACGATTAATATGGTGAAGATAAAGATGCACTCAAGGAAGGAATGGGCGCAAGGCGCAGCAACCGATGGCATGCATGACCCGTTTGAAATCTTTCGGTCCATCTTCAAAGTGTAATGGCAAAGGATCAAAATTTGGAGCTTCTATGAAGTGCTTCGGATGTCAAGGAACTAGTATAAAGTTAACAATTAGGCAACTTGGCCCAAGTATGCTTCAGCAGATGTAGCATCCTCGCAATGAATGCAAGGGAACAGGAGAGGCTATTAATGATAAAGAAGTGCAAAGATGAAAAGTTTGTGCCAGAGAAAAAAGTTTGGAAGCCCACGTGGAGAATGGTTAGCAGAATGGACAACAGATTACATTCCACAGAGAAGTTGATCAAGCTGTGAATACATCTTTAATATTTAAAGAAAGGAAAGAGATTCATGAATGTATTCCACCTATGCAATTGATTAGATTCATTAGAAGACTTCGGATTTAATTTCATGTCTATGTAATCTAAACAATCTTCTTTGAATGTCTGTATTTATTTTGCTACATTTATCAATAACAGAGAAATTTCATTGGTGATGCTCTTCGAATGTCTGTATTTTTTTTGGTTACAGTTTTTGTTCGAATGGTCTAGATGTTTTTGGTTAGTATATTCAACAATCAAGCTTCGATTGTGGAGCCAAAATCAATTTGGGGGTTAGGGTTTAGAAAAGGTCTGGACTTTCAATTTTTGGGATTTCATTCAAAGTGCACCATTTAATTCTGGTTTGGCCGAGGCGTGTTTGGGAGTTGCACTTTAAATGAGATGGCATTTGATTTTCATTTTGGAGAGATTTAACAGCCACATGTACATTTCGTCATCCACGTAGGTATGAGTTAGAAACAGAAGTTGCCCGGTGTGTACTAGGGTGCAACGGACTAAAGTTCAATGAGTAATGTGGTGCAATTAGAAGTTCAGTGAGTGAAACGTGATCATTCTCAAAGTTCAGTGTCTATTCAAACAATTAACTCCGGTTGTATCCTTTTTAGCTCCCTTTTGAAAGAAACCGAGAGGCGCACCTTTGTGTGGCTTCTTCTCCTTTGCTGCTCTGCCTGTTGATTGTTGGTTTCATTGTGAAAACCACTCCTTTCTCCCCTTGCCGACACGTTGGCCAGGCGATTTGGCGACTGGCTCAACCCTTCCCTGCTTCACTGCTGCCGTCCCTTTGTTGCCTTTGTGCGCAACTTCCTCTACTCGATTTGTTGGCTACTCCGGTTGCCTCTACGTGATTTGTTGGATGTTTCTCTTGAGGTTTTAAAAACAGATTTTTTCTTAATAAACTGTGATATGTTGTTTTATTCAAACGACGAGGGAGGTGGACTAGTTAATATACAAATAGAAAATCAAAATAAGATAAAATATGGAGGAGATATATAACCTTCAGTTAATGTAAATAAAAATTAGATATATTGATGAGTTTGGTAAACTTAAGTTAAAGATGAATTCGAGATAGAATCTGGTCGAAAGATCAAGGGTGCACAGGCTCTGAAATGCTGTGATTTTCTTGCCAGAGTAAATATATGCTGCTTCTTAATTGGTTTAGATTATGAGTAATTACTCTAAAGCCATCTAAAAGCTAAGTTAATACAATTAAACCATTTTGCCAGAAAAAATGACACTTTTGTTGACATTCTCTCACATTTTGGTGGGACCCACGCAAGACCCATATGAGTTAAAAAAGAAAAAAAAATCCCCCTATTGTGAAAGGGCTGTCCAACATTGTTCAAGCTAATAAACAACTAAGAGGCATTTATATATCTCAATTAATGAAAACAGAACTTTAACAACAATATTCTAAGACAATGACAACATTTGTTTAAGTACTTAACTATCAATGTACATATTTCATATTCTTTCTTGAATAATACTAAGCATATCCTCACACTTCGATCACAAATATTCGCGTTAACATCATCTCCACATAGGTAGAGGCCGTAAATTGTGCGAGGAGGGCCAAGAACCACCGCAGGGCTCTAAAATCCATTATTTTGGGTGGCGCTAATGGAGGATAAATAGAGAAAAAGTTCATTCAAGTTGGCTTTGCTCTTGGAGAGCAGTCATGGTCAGTAAGAATATTTGCACCTTGTCCATCGAAAAAGACGTCAAAACTACCACTGGTTATAGGTGTCAAGATAGACGGGTTGGTCGAATCGTGAAAACCGGCCCGAATCTACCCAGTCCACTGGCCGACTCGTGACTCGAGCGGGCAATTCACGAGTCAAGGAGGTGTGACCCGCAAGTTTCGTGGGTCGCATCTTCACGGGTCACGGTTAACCCACTGGCCAGTCAAAAAAATTTAAAAAAATTTTAAAAAATGGGGAGAGCAAGATAAAATTATTGATAATGTTGCTGAAAACTTCAAAAAATCTTGCAGTTCCTGAAAATTGATTGGAAAACAAATATTAAAATATATAATTTTTGAACAACTAAATTATAATTAAAACTTAAGTAGGTGCCAACCTAATTGGAATGTACTTAAACTATAAATTATAATAAAAGTAGGTGTCAATCTAGTTGGGATGTACTTATGCTATAAATATTTGATAATAGTAATTAGAAATGCATTTAGTTATTTGTTTAAGTTAAATTTAACTTTAAAAAGTTATAAATAATTCATGTAACATTAAATTTGAATTCATTGTAAATATTTCTTGGTATAAATATGAATTTATCATTTTGTTCAATTCTTATTTTACATTTAATAAAAAAAATATTTTTTTCTATAAATATGAAAAATTCTATATTTTTATAATTTTATTTATACAATAATACGAGTCAAATCGGAACAAACCGCGACCCGTGACCCTCATGGGCTCAACCCGGATGGGTCAGCGGGGCGAGCTTAAGTTGTAGTCCAAAATTTGTGGGCTGGCCCGAAACCTGTAGCAGGTGAGCTTTTTTTTTTTTTCACCCTGGCCTTTACCGGACCATATGTTAACGAGCTGACCCGATCTGGACCACCCAGATTGACACCTCTGCCACTGGTATTTGTCAATGGTGAATCTAACTATTTTTAGAGGAAATTAAAACAAAAAAAGGTATTTAAAGATCAGTTTTTAAAAATCAGGTTTGGACTTTATTTATTCAATTTTTAGGTTTTATTAATTTTAATTAAATAATTAATCTTTTAATTAATTGACGCACGTATCCCGTTATTTCAAGATTTCAAATTTGTGAATATCTCAACTTCCATTATTACTCAAGTCATATTTTCTCTCAATCACTATCTCCTCTCTCTCTCTCTACGTTATTCACGTCTTATCTTTACTATTTTCCAAATTCGAATGTTCTCTCCACAATCCACCCAAAATCCGTTACATTCCCTTTTGTCTACTGAGTGAGAATCCACAATAGGCAACGATTAGGAATGGCGAAAAAAAATGATGAAAAGAATGAGAAGAATGCGGTGCGAAATGAAGAAAAAAGGGGAAGAAGACGGTGGAAACGTCGGGTCGAACAAACAAAAGGAAGAAGACGATGAGTCGCAAGAAAAATCCAGCAACAAGTCTAAAATCGTGTGGGTCAAATAGCAATCAGTTAAG